CACACCCTGATTAAAACCCCAGGCTAAAGCCTATTGTTTTGTTTTTGGCCGCCTGAGTGGAAGGCCCTCTCACCCTTGGATGCCCATACATTCTGCTGCTGCCCAGGCTTCCCTGACCACCCTAATATTAGGCAACCTCAAAGAGTTGTTTTGAACCCAAGCAATTCTTTTGTTGGAAAGAACAAATACAGGAAAAACTCAGAGAATGAATAAATAATGTGTTTGTTAACAAACACATTAAACCATCCCATTATGCGAACAAGAAATTAAAATTGTACAACTGAATCATAAAGAGAACAATCAAGAGGTACTCTCCAACGAAAGCTTAGTTCATCAAAATGGTATAAAAACCCCTAGACAGCCCCTGATGTGGGACCCCTCCCATGCTGGGGATTCTTTCCTTGCTTGCTTCTAATAAATCTGCTACTAAATTTTCACCCTCTGTTGTCTGCGTACTTCATCTTCAGGTGTGTGAGACAAGAACACTCCAGTTCTCACACAACCTTGTGATACATTAGTGTGTCCTTCGTGGATAGCATCTCACTTTGTCTGAGGGTACTTGGTGTCCATATTTTACTTTTGGTAGGTGACTTCAGCTGTCACTGAAATCAAACTGGTCCACTACACAAACATTATATCACTGAATGTTCACAAGGATTCTATAATGCAAATGTCCTTATTTCCATTTTGCAGATAGGGAAACTGAGGCTCAGAAATTTCTTCCCCTCTGATCTTTGAAATTGGAAAAATTCCTACAAAGTATTATCTCTCATTTGCCCCAGAGGGATATAGGTATTGCTGTCCTCCACCCTTGGAGATGCCATCCCTAACAGGGAGTTAGGGACTGATTGTCTGCTGTTTGCAAGGATCTGCCTTTGGCAGAGACATTAGAAAATTTCCCACTCCCAGCCAGGCAGAGCCCGAGAAGCTGTGGACCCTGGTCAGCTGGACCTCTTGTCCGCCAATGCAATAAGCAGCTTGGTGGGGAGATAAACGGATGTGATTATTGGCCTAGAATGAGATTTAGGGATTATCTATGGATTTTCTCTATCCTTGTGGTGGACACAATGGAGAGGGAAGGGGCTGTGGTTTCAGAACCCAGGGGAGGGAACTAAATATTTGTGTTGTACCAAAACTTGAGGGTCAGATGGAACTGGGCTCGAATCCAAGCTCTGTGACCTTGGCCAAGTCATTTCTCTGTGTGACTGTGATTTCCTCTGTGCATGCAAGTAGAAATATGCCGACCCTTGCCTGTTCTTGCTTCCAGTCAGAAGAGGATCACTCTCCGGTGTTCTGATTTGAAGAATTTTACAATCATAAAGGTCTATATTAATTACCTCTAAGCATCTTATCTTTTACTGCACACCCTCAGCAACTTCTTGAAACAGCAAACTGAATTTCTATACACAACAAAAACAGCAACAATAATAGCAGCCAACATTTACTGAGCTCTTCTCATAGAAGCATATTACAGGCACATTACCACTTCATCCTCTCAATAATCCTGAGAAATAGACTCTATTTTATTCTCATTTGCATATGAGGAACTTTACTTTCAGGTGTTTGCCTGCTGTCCCAAAGTTAGCAAAGGATAAGACCAGCCCTAAAACTCGAATCTAGTTTACCCACAGCCAATACTTAACCCCTTTCTTAAATACCTTAATTGCATGTGTAAGATTTCTATAACTTTCTGACATGGATTTGAACTGATTTCCTGAGACTAACCATCATGCAATCCAAGTGAATCACTTTTGTGGGCATTTGCTATGCTTGTCTCTGAGTCCCTGATTCTTCATTCATAAATTTGGCATGATAACACTTCCCTTCCAATGGTTGAGGATTTGATGAGATAGATGTGTTCAAGGATTATCAGTTTTTCCTTGTTTCTCCTCCAAAATTAATATAAATTGTCTTGAGAGCATCAGTAAAAAATAAGAAAATAATTTAGGTGCAAAATGACAATGTTGGAAATTGTCTCCATAACTACCCAGGGTGGCACAATATGCTGCAGCTCTTGAGATGCTGTGTACCACACTGACTATAGATATGGAGAGTAGAGAAGACCTCATTCTTCCTAAATCAACACACACCCTGAGCCACTTTTCCAAGCACTGTGGGTACTATGATCTAAACGTGTTCCCAAAAACTTATGTTTTGGAAACTTAATCCCCAATGCAGCAATGCTGGGAGTTTAGATTATGAGGTCTCCACCCCGAGGAATGGATTCATTATGTTATAAAAGAGCCTGTGAAGACAAGTCGGCTCTCTTCTGGTTTTCTGCTAGATGAGAATACAGTGCTTGTCCACTTTTGTCCTCCCCTTTTTGCCTTGTGAGGATGCAGCAAAAGGCCCTCACCAGATGCCAGCTCACTGATCTTGGACTCCCAGTCTCCACAATTGTGAGAAAATAAATTTATTTTCTTTTATAAATTACTCAGTTTCAGGAATTGTAGCAGCTCAAACAGACTAAGACAGTGTGTTCAGAGATAAGCACAACAGACACGCTCCTTGCTCTCCTAGAGATTGCATTCCACTGAAAGAAACAGAAAATAAGCAACAAAAAAGTAAACACGACATTTCAAAGAGTAAGTGTTATCAAAAATAAAAAGAAGGTAACCATGTAGTCTAAGTTGGGGTGAGAAGAAGTTATTTTAGAGAATGCGGGCAGGTTAACCTTCTCTGAGAAAAAGCCATTTATACCAAGGTCTGAATATTGAGAAGAGTCATTCTTGAAAAGAGCCATGACCCGGAGCTGAGAATGAGAGGTGTATATTCAAGGAATAAAAAGAAATTTATGGCTGTTATAGAGTGAGTAACACTGATACAAATCAGTCCTCTGTAAGTTAGCCATTAGCAGGGTCCATGTGGATCTCCCAGAGGTGGAGAGAGACAGAAGGTAGATTTTAGTTCTTGAGCCAAGACTGAGTTTCATTAACATAGCGACCATTAGCATAGAAACAAATGATGGTATATAATATCACTGCCACAAAATAGAGACCATCAAGACCACAATCCAGGAGTCAAAAGATATCAAATAGAGGAAGTCCTGGCTTGGCTGGGTGTTGGCCACCTATGTGCCAATATGCTTTTCTGTATGTGGGAGAGGAAAATGTTAAAATAATTCAGCAATCATTTCGGAAAGCTAAACCCAGCCTCCTCCCCAGGGTACTCAGAGGTAGACAGCAGTGAATTTTTACTTTCTAGGGTCAACAGTCCAAAGAGTTGTACACTCATGGATTAAGTGATGCTTCTCATTCCTTCTCTTACTTGAACTACTACTGTAGCTGCCTCTATACCAGACTCCTTGTGCTCAGTTTCTTCCACTTCTACAAATGGTCACTGAACACTTTCATTGGTCCAAGTTTTCTATAAGGTGTTCCAGAACAGTAAGTATGTGCCCACAGGTATGGTGCCCCCCCGCCCCCAGCTTCAGGCATACTTCACTCCAGAGTGATATTTATAGTGTCAGCAGAAAGCACTTTGCAAATTGTAAAGGATTGATCCAGTGTTGTTACTGTAGGGATGATCAAGGTGGTGATGGCAGTTGTTAAAGCAGACTCTCTGCTGTCTGTGAGATAGAGGCATGGCAGCAGAGGCCAAGCCAATTCCAGCCTAATTTCCCATCCTCTATCCCCTATATCAGTTTTGGACTTCATCTGCATCAAATCTCTCATGGTCCCTTAATTTCACACAAGGCCCTTGAATGTTGTTTCCTCTGTCTGAAACATTCTCCCCCTGTTGTCTGACTGCAGATCCCCACTGGATCCTTCAAGGTTCAATTCAGCTTCTGAAACCCTTCTCCACAGCTTGTATTTATTCCTACCTCCCCTTGTCTGGCAGTAGCAGTGGGGGCACCTGGAACCAATCCCACATGGATACTGAGAGATGACTACACAATCATTTCAGAGAATAATAAACACCGAAGAAAATTGAAATGATGTTAGAGAGTCATTGGGATAGAAAGCATTATTAGGCAGATGGTCGGAGAAGACTTTTTTGAGGAGGTGACGTTTGAACTAAAATCCAAATGCCAAGATTTGGTCATATGAGTCATGGTAATGAGGACCTCAAGCTGAGAAAATAGCAAATAAAAAGATATATATATATTTTTTTTTAATTTTAAAAGAAGCTTGGTATAAAATGGGGGTCATGATAGAGGAAGTCTCTGACTCAGAGAAGAGTTGTTGGTGATAAAGCAGGAATGCTGTCATGTGGGGCCTTGAAGTCTGTGGTAAAAATATGTAAACCAAATGAGCCATCACCTGAAGAAAAGGAAGTTACTTTGAGCCTTGCATGTGTAGATTCATTCAGCAGATTTAATAGAACATCTATGGTGTATCATTCGTCATGCTACAGACGGAGATACAGAGAAAAGTAAAATATAGAGCCAGTTTTCATGAGCTGGTCAGTTGAGGATATAGATGAAGAGATAATTGTCACACCATGTGATAGGAAATCTAGTAGAGGCATGTAAAAGCTGAGGGAGGCTCAGAAGACTGTGCCACAGGGGACAGGAAAAGTTTCACTGAGAAGGCAAACACTTTAGCTTACAGATTAAACATAAGGAATAAGGGGGGAAGAACATTGCGGCCAAAGGGAACAAATCTTTTTAGAAAGATCTCTCTGGGGCAGGGTTGGTAACAAGAATAAGGTTTTAGAGGCAGTAAGGCTAGTGAGTGGCGCCAGCAATAGAACAGGTAGGTGTAAATAAAGACCTAGGTTTGATTTTTGGCCACAGAAATTGAGGAAGAGCAAGGGAGGGAGATCGAGATCCAAGAAAGGATGCCCTAGTGAGGGACCCCCCCTAAGTCTCCAAACTTCAAGGCAGAACTGCGTGTGTGGGGAACTCCCCAAGTCTCCCTCTTGATTTCACAGCCACCTCTGCTGGCGCCCTCTCTCGTCCCCGCTGCCAGCCCCCGCCTCTTTTCTCAGGAAGCTTGGGTCTCCCTGGGAGCGGGTCAGCCCTTGGGGGAGGCCTCTCGGCTCGGTGCCCTGCAGCTCGGCTGACATTCGGGGTGAACAGAAGAGGGGCTCGGCGCCCCCCGCGCGCACATGTGCTAACCCAGGCAGGAGGGAGCGCCTTGGCGGAGGAGGCAAGGAAGAGGGGAGGGAGAGGCGCGCCAGAATCTCGGTCCCGGGCGCCCTGGTCGGCCGCGGAGGAGCTGCATCCTCCAACAGGTTCGTAGAAGGCGCGCTCGCTCCCTGTGGCTGAGCCGCCCCGTCCTCCGCGCGAGCGGGTTCGCTGGAGAGACCCTGGCCATAGGCCCCGCGCTGCCGAGCTCCCCGAAGGCGGCTTCCTCCGGCCTCTCCCTCTCTCGGCAGCTCTCCGCCGCCGCCGGCTCTTCCGGGGCGAGGCGGAGGGCGCTACGGCTCCTTCACGGTTCAGCAGCACCTCGGGGCCAGCCGCCGTGCCGGGCGGGGTCCTCCTCCCGGGGTCCGCCCTGCACCGGTGGACTGGGGCCGCCCGCCCGGCGGGGTCCTCTCCTCTTCCCGTCCCGGTTCAGTACCACGGCCGCCGAGGACAGTCCCTCTCCCCCGCCGGCTCCACTCCCCGCGTCAGCACCGCCGCGGCGGACAGCTTCTGCCCAGCCGGCGGCGTCCTGGCGAGCGACGAAACAAAGCCGAGGGGCAGGGGCCCCCGGAGTTCCGTGCGGGTGGGCGGCGGCATCGACTGGGGGGTTTCGGCTTCTCCCGGAGCTGGGGCAGGGGCGAGCCGGAGAGGGGGGCCTAGTCACAGCCGCGCGTCTCTGGCTCGGGTCTGCGGCTGGCCGAGGCCTGGCGGTGCAATGGCGGGTGTCAGCTGCAAGTCGGGAAGAGGGCAGAAGGGGAGCCGGGCATAGGAGGGTCCTGGGCTCCGGTTGGGCGAGCTGGGCCTAGTCTGAGCTGGCAGGAAGGAATGCGCCGCCCCCTCTTTGCCCAGACCGCCACCCCAGCTCAGGACCACGGACTTCCAAGAGACTAACCCAGAAGCCCGCGGCTGGCAGCGGCGGTCCCTGACTCCGGCTGTCCGCGGAACATCCCTAGAAAGTGTGAGGCTGAGTTTCCGCGGGGGGAGGGGGCCGAGAAAGCGCCGGGAAGCCGAGCGCGGAGGAACCGGGCAGCTCCGGGCTCCCCCTCCCACCTGCCCAGTGTTCCACCCGCACGACCCGAGAAATCCCAGCCCGCAAGGAAGGGAGAGGGGAGGAGGCGACCCGGGCTGCAGTGGGGGATCGCGGCTCAGCTCTGGGAGACTGTAATCAGCAAGAAAAGAGGTTGAGAGAGCCTGAGGAGCGGGGAGGTTCCCAAACAGGGAAGCCAGCTTCGCGGCAGGAAACCAAACCTGGAAGAGAAACCTTTTCTCTGGGAGCTGAAGCTGGGAGGGCCTTCGGATCACGTGGTCCTCTAGATCACAGATACTCTCCCCGGGAGACTGGGCCTTGGGGGCAGAGGTGACTCACCAAGGTCACTCAGCAATTTGGTAGCAAAATTGGGCCTAAAACCAAGTTCCTTAATTCCTGGGGACTGTTGTATAATGTGGAGAAGTCTTACAGAATTCCAGATGCAAGAGGAGCAGAGTGGTTTCCATTCTGAGTGCAATCTCAGCTCTGTCAATTACTAGCATATGGCCTTGGGAAAGGGACCTCCTGACACCCTCTTCAGCTATTAAAGGGGAATGATAAGATTAATAGCACCTGCTTATGGTGAGGATTTGATGAAAAAGCTATGTAATGAGTTTAGTGTAGTGTCTGTCACCTAGTAAATGCTCAAAAAATGGTTGCTATTATTCCTTTTGTAAACATGTGCTAAGAACCTATCATGTGCCAAACACTGGCCATGTTCTGGTAGGATGAAGAAGTGTCCCAAGGATGTCACAGACCAACAGAGGAAACAGAAAACACAGTGTCAGTGTGGTGTGGTTAAGTATGGAAGCTAGTAAACAAGGCTGTGTGATTTGGGAGGCAGGAGTGTTGAACTGTGGGGGGAGAAAGAGAGAAAGGGCCTCAGACACATGAAGCTATGTGTAAAGGCATAGAGATGTAAAATCACAGCGACCAGGTTTATGTCACCATGCCTGAAGGTCCTCAGGATGGGCACTGGGAAATGAGAGTAGAAAGGCTGCAGCCAGTTTCTAAATGGGCTTTTACTGTGGAATATTTCAAACATTTTGAAAAATACAAAAACTAGCGTAATAAAATCCCACATGCCCATCATCCAGCCTTAACAGTTGGCCAATTTTGCTTCCTCTGTACACAGACCCACTCTCATCACGCACATCAACATCTACTCTCATCTCTTTCACACACGCGCGCTCACACACACCCCAACTTATTTTAAAGCAAACCCAAAATGTTGTACAACACATCACATCATTTCATGAGGAAAGACTTTAACATCAATAACAACTTCTGCCATTCAGATGCTGTACCACCTTGGAAGTCATTGACTCAAATCATGACTTTCCCTTCTCAGTCCTGAACATTCCTGTCCTTAGCAGAAAGTTTTGAGAGATAGGCCACACTTTGATGATAAACCATATGCTTTAGAAGGAATTATTTTAGGAAAAAATAGGGGCTGGGGTTGTGGTTCAGCATTAGAATGCTCGCCTAGCACATGCAAGGCCCTGGGTTCGATCCTTAGCACCATATAAAAATAAATAAAATAAAGGTATTGTGTCCAAGTGCAACTAAAAAATAAAAAATAAGCATGAGGGGGCAGGCATCCACCTTCAACAGGTTTTTCCTAAGGCTTGTTTAACTCCTCTACCTACACTAAGGCCATAGGCCAGCAGCTATTTGAAAGATAGACCAAAAGACAAATGGAGCCCCGAAAAGAAAAAGTGTTTCCCTTTCAAAATAATCTGAATCAGGGACTCATGAAGATAGAAGCTTGAAGTTATGGAAATCACTGATTTAGAAATCATCAAGCCACATTTTACAGATGAGAAAGACAAGGGTCAGGAATGGGAAGGAGTTTACAGAGAGTTCCTCAGTGCTAAAGCCAGAGCCAAGGTCTTTGAACCCATAATCTGAAGTTTTTTCAGTTCACCATTTTGACTAGAATATTCAGCCTTGGAGTTTCTCCGCACATAAATATAGGATGGCATTTTCTTCACCAGCTCATAGAGGTAGCAGGAGGAAGGGGAAGAAAGCAAGAAATGTATTCCTAGTTCTCAAGAGGGTGGTCATGTTTGACAGGTGGTCTTTGGGCCCTTTGATAAATTGCCCCTCTACATATTTTTGAAGTAAGTTGCTCCTGCTGGCCACTACCTTCTGGCCATGGTGCTAATCTCCTGACTGGCCCCAAGGGCTCGGCAATCAGACACCTGGGCCTAATTTCTGTGGATTTTTTCCAGTCAACCAGATGCATGGGAAGCCTTTCCTTTCTCCATTAGCCCTGAATCTGGCTGCACATCCCTCTGGACTACAGACCACAGCTCCTTTGATGTGTTAAATGAGTAGTGTTTGGCCCAGACCCTGGCAGGACTCAGAGCTCTTGAGCCTTTTTGGAGCATAATGTCTCTCCAGTTACTGATGCAATGTGACAGCTATGACGGGTTTATCTGCCCCAATCAGGCTCTAGGGCTCTGACTACACAAGTCAGCATTTTCATTTTTCAGGAAAGCCCTTCGTTGACTTAAAAATGGGAAAGATACGATCTCACAAGTTCCCCCAAGTCTTCAGTATGAGAACCCATGAAAGGAGTTCTTAACATCCCCAGTGAAGGGAAGTCAACAGAGAACAGCCAACGAAATTGTTTTCCTTCTGGGAGGATGAGTCAGGCAAGACAAAGGCAGGTGATCAAAATTGTGAACTTCACCTTGTGAAATTATCCCAGCTATTAGCCTGGGATGAGACCAATTTAGAGGTATTATATTGTCTCTGTCTAGTTGAATTGCAATATGTAGAATCCCAAAGGAACTTGATGAGTCTCTACTCTTCCTTCAAGACACTTATTCATTGAGTGGCTGTTCTGTGTCAGGCACCGTTCCAGGTGCTCGTGACATAGCAGAACAAGATATCTCACATCCCTGCTCCCCTGGGGCTTATAGACTCACAGTAGACACCATCATTAATATCATTTAACAGGTAAATATGGAAACATATAAAGAGACAAACAGATCGGGACAGCCTGTCCAAAATAGTGACATGGAACTGATATCCAAATAGCAAGAAGAAATCGCTATGTAAAACTGTGGGAAAGAACATTCCAGTCAGAGGAATTAGCTCTGGCAGAGGCCCTAATGTGAGGCTGGACTGTTTGGGGACAGGCAGGAGGCCAGTGTGGCTTGAGCAAGTGAGCAAGCAGGGGAGTGGCAGCAGATGAAGGCAGGGAGGGGAGAGGTTAGGTCACACGGAACCTTCTAGGCCTGTTCAGAATGTAGGATTTGATTCAAAATACTGTGGATGATTGCCAGATGGTTTTAAGCAGGAAAGTGATTAAAAACTGGTTTTGTTGTTAAATATACCTCAGGTTGCTGCATGGAGAATGGATGCCATAAGAATGCTGGGCTGGGCACAGGGGAGGCAAAGAGGGAGAGACACAGCCTCTGCTGCCTGGAGGTGCTTAGCGTTCAGCCAAGGAGACCATACACAAACAAGAACGGCAGCACCCTGTCCGGAGGGATGCCTGGGGTGTGCAGCATGGGGGCATCCGAGAAGGCTTCAAGGAATTAGGTGATGGTTGTTGAGTTGTACCTGGAAAATAAGAGTAAGTAGGGCTGTCATGCAGGTGACCAGAGAGGCAGCAATGATAGCAGAGCAGTGTGTGGCCCAGGAGCCAGATGGCCTGGATTCAAACCCCCGCCCTGCCCAGTGAGTGGTTAGGCAAGCTATTTACCTCTGTGTGCCTCCATGTTCTCATCCTTGAAACAGAGATGATGAGAACCCAAATCCCCTTATCTAAGGGGTTTCTGTGGGGGTTAAGTTAAGCTGGTGAAGCACTCAGAAAGTTCTGGCACTCAGAACTTGTTTAGCCACATGAGTACTGCTAAATTAAAATGTGGCAAAATGGGGGTGGGAGAACAGGAAGCACATGCTGAGGAATGTCAACTGGAACCCAACTCAGAGGAATGTGGAATCTCAGGCCAGGGAACCCCATCTTGCTCAGAAAGCAATGAGGAGCCATCAGAAACATATAAGCAGGGAGGTTAAGAATGGAGAGTAAGAGAAAACCCAAAGGCCCAGAGAGGGAAGGGCACT